TATCTTTTTGCATCTGTTATTGTTTTATTATTGGTTTTCCATCTGCCTTGCTTTAAGGCAGGAGAGGGAGAGAGGGACAGAGGGAAGTTGTGAGCTCTGTAGAGGAATAGTGCCAAATATTAAATCCATAAGCAAAATAGATTGATGTGGAAAGAATGGGTCAGAGATGAAGGAATCCTGAAAGCAGTGAATACCACACTGAAAATACCATTTTAAAGTGCCATCTGGCTATTTCTGGTGTATCTGTGGGGTCAGCATAATTTGGTTCCTGAGCTGCTTGTGCCCCTCTGCCATCTGCTGAGTGCCTTTTCATGGTTTCCTCATTTCTGGCCCTTACAGCCATTTATGTCATGCGAGCTGATGACCCGAGTCAAGGTTTCCCTTCCTCTGGCGATAATGATCCTGTCACTCTAGGTTCCTATTTTAGTGGAGCATGAAGAGGTAGGCTGACTGATTGAGACTGAGCTGGAGTGAAATAAGGATTTCAATCAAGGCCCCACTCACGTTCCTGCATTATGTCTCAGAGAGTATAAAGAGGGAAGTTACTTGTGTCCTCTGCCTTCTCAGTGTTAGTTTTCAAACTGCATTCTCTGGGTCATGGGTATTTTATTTGGCTCACCCTGGGTTTGCAGTTAGCTGCCAGCATTTAAAGATAGGGATTTCCCCAGCTTCTCTTTAAACACTGGAAGAATCCTGCTCTGTGTCCCTTCCTGGAGGTCACTTCCCTTCAGTGAAGACACAGGCACTGCAGATCAGACTGCCACGGTCGCCACTGCTGTACACATTTATATTGGCCATCATGGTGGCTCTTGTATTTGTGTGCTCCAGTCTACAGGAAAGAAAGGAAATGCCTTTCATGCATAAAGCACAGTACCTTGGAATTTGCATACATTATCTCCTTGGGTTTTCTTTCCTATGAACCCAGTAAGATTTAAGCTCCATGACTGCAGGGGCCATACCTGCATCTTTTGCCATCGCGAGAGGACATAACTCCTGGCATAGTCACAGGAACACAGCAGAGGGCAATATAATTTTTTGCAGTCCAGGCTGGCCTCGAACTCATAGAGTCCTCCTGCCTCAGCCTCCCGAGTGCTGGGGTTACAAGTGCGCACCACAACACCCAGCAAATGATATTTTTATCTCATTTCTGTAGATAAACTGAGGCACAAAACAGTTAAGCAACTTGTTCAAAAGCCATCTAGCTGGTAGAGGCTTGCAGCTACGATTCAAATATGACACTGTGTTGCCAGGTGTGGTGGCACATGCCTGTAATCCCAGCAGTCGGGAGGCTGGGAGGATTGCTGTGACTTCAAGGCCAGTCTGGACCATACAGCTAGACCCTGTCTCAAAAACAGAACAAGCAAACAAAAAATTGAATACTGTGTGACTTCAGAGATCCAGCGTGGAGGAGGGAAGAGACCAGGGGCCACTTGAGGGCCATGTACACAGAGGCCCTCGATCAGTACTTGCTAGATAGACTGACAATAATTCTGAACATGTTTTCCAGAGCACACAGTCCAGGAAGTACAGGCATGGCTTTTAGCTTTGCCTAAAAGCAGAGGTCACCACCAGCATGGAACAATCAGAGTATGTTTCTGTCCACAGCTGACTTGTGCTCAGTGAATGTGGTGCAATTTCAGTTAATTCTTGCACATCTAAGGAGCACCTCCGGAGGCTTACGTTCTTAAGTGTCCCGCTCATTGCGGGCCACCAGCACAGAAACTGTGCTCAGGAATGATTATGCTTCGGTGTTTCTTTGTGAGGCTGCCTTAAGGATTGCACCCTAAAAATCAAGCTCCTTTGAAAGGGAGGGCTTGGCCTCTCCAAGGCCAGGGAGAAGAGGGTGGAATGACTTAGTTTCTGACTCTGTGCCGATGATTCCCAAATTGATTTAGAAGTTTGATATCTCCCGCACAGATTTCCGAATTCCAGAAACTACTAGACACTTCTTACAAATCTCTGTCAGTCGTGACTCCTGCACTTCATTTTTTAATGGCTCCAGGGATCATGCCAGGCCTCATGCATGTTAGACACATGCTGTTCCACTGGGCTACATACGCCTTCAGCCTAACAACATGCATATTTGCCTCTAAAGTGGCCTTTCCCTCCATTTTTTTCCTGTTAGTGGGAATTTAATTTTTACTTACCAAACTCCAGCTTTGGATCTTTCTACTACTCTTTCTTATTTATAATCCACGTATGCAAGCACTTTCCTCAAAAATAGCTCATTATCTTCCTTTTCTCCCCCTTTCCCACACAAGGGCAAGCCTCTGTCACTTCAGGCCTTGAGAGCTAATGTAGCTTCCTGGCTGGGCTCGATGTTTCTAGAAGTTCTTTCTCACTGAAAGTTGAAAGTTGAAAGTTCTTTCTCACTGAAGTTCTTTCATATCACTGCACACGCTGTCAAGATTCTCTTACCAAAGTTCTGTTTTCATATCTTTTCCTTCCACATTCTCCTCTCTTCTTTCGTTTCTCCTTCCCTCCCTCTCTCCCTTCCTCCTCTCTCCCTTCCTTCCTTTCTTCTTCTGTGCTGGACATTTGAACTCAGGGCCTTTGCACTGAGCTACACATTCAGCCCTTTCTTATTTTTAAATTTTCAGACAGAGTTTCATAAGTTTCTTGCCAGGCTGGGATGGAAATTGAGATCCTCCTGCTTCAGCCTCCCAGACTGCTAGGATTACTGTCACACACTATTATACCTGGCTCCTTTCTACATTTTGAACCTGTATTGCCTTCTCATGGCTCACAGTAGTGTTTCCCAGTGTGTGTTATATGAACCTTTAGTTCCATAGGAAATTAGGTGTTAAATAAAAAATAGGTTCTGTGACGAAATGTAGGGGTTGGTAGACCATGTCTTTCCTGCTGTGTGATTCATAGCTTTGATTTGTTAATATGCCTTAGTATGCAGGGTTTCCTGAGACTATTTCCAGAGCCTCTTTGTTGGGGTGTTTCACTGGCCTGGGTCCTTATGAACCACATATTATAAAATACTGATCCCCAGATTAAAGTCTACATTCCCTGTGATGATTTAATTTTATGTGTCAACTTGGCTGGGGCTATTTGTACAAGCATTATTTGGAATATTTATGTGAATGTTTTTAGATGATGCCGATGGTTACATTTGTAGGCTGAGTGAAGCCTGAAGCTCCCTCTAATGTGGATGGACCTTATACAATCAGCTGAAGATTTGATCACAACAGCAAAGACAAGCAAGGACTTATACCTGCTTGGATGCCTTTGAACCGGGATTGCAACTTTCTCTCTTTGCATGACCTTTCCTGGGCCTTGCATTGCTGATCTTGAGCCTCCATGTTCCTAAGACCCAAGTCATATATGTGCTTGTGCTTGTGCTTGTGCGTGTGTGTGTGTGTGTGTGTGTGTGTGTATACTCTGTAGGGCTGAGGATGTGGCTCAGTGGTAGAGTGCTTGCCTAGCACACACAAGGCCCTGAATTCCAGTCCTAGCAAAACACACATATACACACACATGTGCAGATAGTCCTTGACTTATGCGGGTTTAGCTTATGAGTTTTTTACTTTATGATAGATTTATCAGGACATAACCCCCACTGAAGTCAGGGAGCCTCTGAGTGTGTCCTGGTTGTGTTTCTCTGTAGAAATTTGTCTTACATAATCCTTCTTCAAGATTATTTAAGATAAGCCTCCTATTCCACCTGTCTGAGCTTATTTCCTTCCATTTCCCAGCACATAGTTTGTGCTCAGCTAAATTGGTTTCCTCTTGGTCTTTACACATACAAGCAGAATTTACCTCTAGCATTTGCCCAAGGTGTTTCTCCGGCACATATTTTAGCCAGCTCTTTATTGCTGCAAAAGCACCTCAAAGAGTCATCTCACAGGGCTGGGGATTTAGCTCAGTGGTTCTGGCGCCTGCCTTGCAAGTTCAAGGGCCCAAGTTCAATCCCTGGTACCAAAAACAAAAACAAAAAAAGAGTCATTTCACAGAAAGGAAAGGTTGCTTTTGGCTTACAGCTTCAGAGGTTTCCATCTCTGGCTGCATTTGGGCCTGTGATGAGGCTGCATGTCAGGGCAGGGGTATGCAAGGAGGAAGTGTCTCACTTCACCACTGCCAGGAAGTGAAGAGTCACAAGAGGGGATTTGGTCCTCTCATCTCCTTGGGAATCCCAAGTGCTCAGTGACCTTGTTTCCTGCTGCCTGCTCTACCCCCTAAAGGTTCCACACCTCTCAGTGGTGCCAGGGTCTGAGCATCAAGCCTGTGGAAGGCATTCGCGATTCAAGCTCTAGAAGCATGGGTCCACCTGGGTCTTCTTGTCTCCCTCCTCCACATCCTCCACTTCTTCCACCTTTCTTCTTTAATTACATTTTTAAACATTTTGTGGTGCTGGGGATAGAACATAGGACTTTTTTTTATTATTCATTAAGTTTGTTGGTACATTTTAGGTATACAGTACGATGACATTCATCATTGGGATCTTGTACCATTACATGCTACATCTTGGTTCTTATTTTTCCCTTATTCCCCTGCCCTCCCTTCACCCTCCTTCACTCCTCCCTATTTACAAAGACTTTGTTCCCATTTTTTCCTTTACTCATATTTTTTCCTTTCCCCTACCCCCACCCTCACTTACCCTTCCCCTTTGGAGCTTTTCTTCCTGTTTCATGTCATCTACCATACATTTTTGGTTCTCATTTACACTTTCAGTTAGAACATAGGACTTTTGCACTGAGCTATATCCTCAGCCTTATTTATATATTTATTTTATTTTATTTTATTTTGAGACAGTGTTTCGCTAAGTCACTAGTTGCCTAAGCTGGGCATGAACTTGCCATCCTCCTGCTTCAGCCTCTCAAGAGTGCTGGTATTACAGGTCAGCACCACTATGCCTGGCTCCTCTTCCTGTATATTCACATTCTACCCTTCTTTTTGCTTTACCATCTCCCTTCTCCTGCCCCAACATTTTCTGAAATTAGAAAACAAACTTCCCAAAGCAAGTCTGGCAAAACCGGGTTTCTCTATTCCAGGATGCTGTGCTCTGCAGAGATGCTAATTGGCTGCAAGCTCAAGAAAGGAGGACCCAGAGGAAGTTCCCATTATAAACAAGTGAGTGAGAGACTCTGGTCTAGGGCTAAGAGGTAGAGTGCTTGCCAGGCCCGCGGGAGGCAGGAGGGAGGTGAGCAGTGGGTGGAGGCTGGTGAGGTGTCTCTGCTTAATTCTATTTTCACTCCTTCACACTAGTAAGCAACTGTACACGCACTGTTTTATCACAACACGCCAGAGATTTTTGCTGATAGAGGAGAGGGGAAGGAGGGGGGAGAGAAACAGGGGGAGAGGGAGAGGGAGAGAGAGAGAGAGAGAGAGAGAGAGAGAGTCAGAAGAGGGAGGAGAGGGAGGAGAGAGGGAGATATCTTTAAGAAAGGTCATGGGAAGTCGCTGGGAACCTGACCCCATTCAGAGAGAATTCTTACCTGACCCCAAGCAGAGAGAATTCTCTCCTTGTCCTCCCACAGGGGAAGGCAGAAGGTCTGGTGAGGAGTGGCTGTGCTCTTTCTTTGTGCCTCAGGAAGGCAGAAAGGAGAGGATGAAGGTTCCAGGGAAAGAGGAATTCAAGGGGCCAAGCTCTTGAAATCAACAAAGGGAACGGTCAAGAAATCTGAGAAACGGGAGAGGAAGGAAAGGCGGAGAGTCTGTCCCTTGCATAGTAAGCTTGAAGAGAAGTAGGAAATTGGGGCAGCCTACCCTGAAGGAGCCCCAGCAAGCCACCAGTGCTCTTCCCCTGAGACACTTTCTCCTCAGAGGGATCCTCCAGGGGTCCCCCGATCCCATTCACCCCGACACCACTTTACAGGGCGGAATTACATTTTACCATCAGTGAGTCTGATGGCTGCATTCCTCCTCTCTAAGGATAAAGGGAAGCTTTTTAAAAAGTTGGTGACTTTATTCTAAGAGTATAATGATTAATATGTACTAGTATTCTGGTATTTTGTGAATCCATAATATGCTAAGCCGCGATGATCTAGGGGAAATAAATGTAACTCCCAACCTGCTAGATGTCAGATACGCTGCGCTTGCATGCCCTAAAATCGAAGAATGAATTTTAAGGAAGGATGGAGGCTAAGAGTGGGAAAACTTCAGGGGGTGGGGGTGGGGCGTGAGAGCTCCTGAGAGACAGGAGAGGGGCTAAAAGTGAGTTGCCAATGAGCCCGCTTCTCAAAGGAAGTATTTTAGAACAAAATCTTAAGGTAGGTACAACATAGGTAAAAAATATGATCATCCAATAAAAATCACAAGAATAGCTGCTTAGGTGATATTGATCCGGTGGGGAAGTACGTGGAAGACCTTTTTAGGAAGGGATGGATCAGGGGGCTTGGCCATCCGCTGGGATAACTGATGTCTATCTAGACTTTATTAGACCAAGGGAATATAGTCTTCAATTTACTGCTTATCCCTGGGGAGGGATGCAGGTGTTGAGGCCTGGCCTTCAACAGCTGTGCCTCCAGCCACAGTCGTGATGTATTCTGGTCTTCTGCACTGACTCACTCGAGGGCCCAGCCCTATCTGACTGCCTGTACTATTTCTATCTAACTTAGCTGTCTACAATCCTTTCATCAAGAAGTGTACCAATAAACTCAATTAAAGCTGAAAAAAAAAAAACAAAAACCAAAAAAAAAAAGAAAGAAGTGTATTTTCTTACCACCCTAGATCCTGCTTTTGATAGGGAAGTACCCACATTCAAGAAACATCTCCTGGTATTAGTAGTGGGTTCTGTGTCATGTTTTGAGCTAATACAATTTTCTGGTTGAGAGCCATTTGTGTCTGAATAAAAATGACAGCTCCAGGAACAATTTCTCGTGTTTTACTTGCAGTGAGTTCTTTTTGTTCAGGAGTCTGTTATTAGTGGAGGCGCATTTAATGTAGGTAAATGACCCCTGCCTTCTGTCTTAATTGAAACTCAGCTTGCCACAGTTAATGTGTTTTATGAGTCAGTAAATCTTGGAAAAAAAAACCCTAATGTGCTGTTGAAGTAAAGGAAAAAAAATGGTTTCAGTACTTCTTTTTCTGTGTAAGCAATTCTTTTCTTTCACGTGGAAAGAACTCTTGACCTTTTGTGGTATAATATTCTGAACTTTCTCATCTGTTCAGCTGCAGACAAATTTGTTTTGAAAGACAGAAATCTTTAGTCTACAGGGAAGGGAGTGTGAGATCTACTTATTCTCTGAACATGGAATTTGGGCTTGATCTCTATATTAAGAAAGGAGATATAAGAGAAGCTCACTGAAAGGACTAGTACCATATTGTGTTACTCTCCTGGCCTTGGCCAAGACATTTAAATGATGTGAGATCTCTCACTTGTAAATTCAAGTTATATCAGTTAGCTACTGCTGTATAACAAATCATCCCATGACTTCCTGGTTTAAAACCACAGGCACATATCACTTGATGATGAGATATGTTCTGAGAAATATGTCATTAGGCAATTTTGTTGTATGGCTACCAAATCACTGTGACCAAGTTTTTTTTTTTTTTTAATCTATGGCATAGCTGGTTACCTAGGAAAGAATTATGAAAATATATGAGCCTAGGGTTGATGGTGATGTCTGAGTTTGACTTTTATTCATTTAATTTGTTTACTTTGTGTGTGTGTGTGTGTGTGTGTGTGTGTGTGGTCCTGGGTACTGAACCCAGTATCTTCACACTGAGCTACTTCCCAAGCCTTTTCTTTACTTTTTATTTTGAGACAGGGTCTCACTAAATTGCCTGGGCTGGGCTTGAACTTCTGATACTCTTGTCACAGCCTCCCAGAGCATTGGTTATTACAGGAATGTGCCACTATGCCCTGCTTCTTATTTGTGTTTGGGGTAGTACTAGGGACTGAATTCAAGGGCTCATGCGTGCTGAAGCAAGTGTGTACCACTGAGCAACATCTCAGCCTGTGAGTCTTAGTGGTTGGTATCTGTCAGGTATTGTCAGAGTGGGATGTGTACGAGGTAGCTGAGTATGTGCATGTGTATTTCATAGTGAAGCTGTATCATATAACCTCAAGCCTCCTTTGTTCATCTTTGTTATTGTTCAGTACTATGGGTTGGACCCAGGGTCTTCACACAGAGCTCTATCCCCAGCCCTTTTATTCTGAAACAGGATCTTGCTAAATTGATAAATTACCCAAGCTGGTCTTGAATTTATGATTCTCCTACCTCAGCCTCCCAGAGTGCTGGGCTTAAAGGCGAGTATCACTATGCCTGGCTTCATTTCTTCATCTTGAAAATAGGATCACCTCTGGGATTTAATGGGAGTTGTTATCCCCATTATATATTACAATAAATGTTACAGATCTAAAACAAACAAACAAAAAATAAAAGGAGAACTGGATCGGCAGGGCTAGGGATGTATGTAACTGAGTAGTAAAGTGCTGGCCTAGCAAGTGTAGGACCCAAGTTCAGGCCCCAACACTACAAAAACAAAGAAAGCAAGTAAGAAAGTAAAAGTGTGGGATCAGTAACAGTGCCTGCATAGGCCACACACGGGTGTTGATGAGGTGGGCTGCCAGGTTCAGAGGTGGGAGAGTCCACTGCTGCCATCAGCTCTCTGGAGAGCCGGAGGAAGCAGGAGCTACACAGTTCAGGAAGCTAAAAACCTCAGAACAAGTGGGATCAAGGATGCAGGGCTGATCAGAGACTGAAATCCAGGAAGCTCCCTGGAGAATGGCTGGTATGAGTCTCCACCCACGGAAGGACTGAAGAATTTGGACTCTGATGTCCACAGGCAAAGGCAGTAACAAAAGATGCAACTCCCCCAAGGAGCACCAAGCTCCTCAAACGCAGGATGACTTTCTCCTCCCCACTTTGCTCCTTCTGGCCTTATGTAAGCCTACTGGATGGTGCCGCCCACAGTGAGGGGAGGTCTTCCCTTCAGTTTGCTGGCCTACCTGTCAATCATCTCTGGAAATGCCCCACAGACACACCCAGGAGTGCTTTACTAATTTGATAGGCATTTCTTTATTTATTTTTGTTTTTCTTTTCGGTACCAGGGATCAAACTAGGGCCCTTGCGCTTGTGAGGCAGGCAACAGAACCACTGAGCCAAATCCCCAGCCCTGATAGGCATTTCTTAATCCAGTTAAACTGGCATATCACAATTAAGGGTCAGAGTGCCTCTCATATAAATTGTGAGGATTAAATGAGAGGGACCATGTATGCAAAACGCTTTGCCAAGTACCTGGCACATGGTAGGTGTTCAAAGAAATGATACCTAATTTTACTTTTTATTTTCTTATTTATTTATTTTTTTTTTCTTTTTTGGCACTGGGGATCCAACTCAGGACCTTGCGCTTTCGAGGCAGACAGGGGCACCACTGAACTAAATCCCCAGCCTTCTTTTTATTTATTTATTTTTGTGGTTCTGGGAAAGGAACCTAGGACCTAAGCAAGCGACCTACTGCTGAGGTACATGCGCGGCCCAGCTTTTCTTATTTTGAATTCTTAGCTAACTGTGTGTGTTTATTTTACAAGTAATCACATTCCTTGAAGAAAATTGGAAAAATCTAGAAAAGCAGAATGACAAAAATTATCTCAAATAATTTATATCTTGCCACTCAGATTAGCTACTAACAATACCTTTGTAAAATATATGTGGAATCTTGACTGATTTCAGTGCCTATGCGCATATTGATTGATTGACTGATTTGTGTGTGTGACAGAGAAAGAGAGAGAGGGAGAGAGAGAGAGGGAGACAGAGAGACAGGGTGAGAGACAGAGAGACAGAGAGACAGAGAGGAGGGTAAGAAGAGGGGGCAGAAGAGAAAAAGGTGTATTTGTTGTTAGATATTTTATAAAAGTAAAATAAAAATCCCAGAAATATCCATTACTTTTTATTATCAGCACCTCCTCTTCACCCTGGGATATTTAAGGCCCAGAGACTGCAGTGTGTACTACCCAGTTCACAACTTACCATTTTATTCTTCTCTGTATTCTAGATATCAAGAAGCCAGCTTGTAATGCTTCTGGACCTTAATTTCTCAAAACAAATCTAGAAAACACTAGGTTCCTGAGATGTTCTGAGAAAGAAGTGTTCTTTGCAAATAAATTAGGGAAATGCAACACATTA